AAAGAAAACACATGTAAGTCAAAATGTTTCAAGTTGTTGTGAGCCAGGAACCTGAGAAAAAAAAACACGTGTACGTTGAAATGTTTCAAGTTGTTGTGAGGCAGGAACCTGAGAAAAGAAAACACATGTAAGTCAAAATGTTTCAAGTTGTTGTGAGCCAGGAACCTGAGAAAAGAAAACACATGTAAGTCAAAATGTTTCAAGTTGTTGTGAGCCAGGAACCTGAGAAAAGAAAACACATGTAAGTCGAAATGTTTCAAGTTGTTGTGAGCCAGAAACCTGAGAAAAGAAAACTTACACATTACATAATATTGAATAGTTTTAGGTTTTTATCTTGAATGGTCAAGGTAAAAAAAAACTGACCAAAACCATTGCATGAAATCAAATACACAGATCACACCAACATTCATTGCAATGTTGGAGGCATAATATGTTTTTACGTTTCTTTGTGACTTGTATGTTATTCGAGGCCCTGAAACCAAAAAAGCAATTGGCCCAGACGTGATATTGTACATAGATAGTTTTAAAAAGGTGTTTAAAAATCAGTAGATTCAACTTTTCCTGTGGAGCTGTATCTCACTAACTATAACATATCGTCCACTGTTTCAAGTTTTTCTACAGACTTATCCTACTAACTATAACATATCGTCCACTGTTTCAAGTTTTTCTACAGACTTATCCTACTAACTATAACACACCGTCCACTGTTTCAAGTTTTTCTACAGACTTATCCTATTAACTATAACATGTCGTCCACTGTTTCAAGTTTTTCTACGGGCTTATCTTACTAACTATAACATATCGTCCACTGTTTCAAGTTTTTCTACAGACTTATCTTACTAACTATAACATATCGTCCACTGTTTCAAGTTTTTCTACAGACTTATCTTACTAACTATAACATATCATCCACTGTTTCAAGTTTTTCTACAGACTTATCTTACTTACTATAACATATCGTCCACTGTTTCAAGTTTCTTCAATGAGTCTAGTCCTAGCTTACTGTTTCTTCAATGAGTCTAGTCCTAACTTACTGTTTCTTCAATGAGTCTAGTCCTAACTTACTGTTTCTTTGAGGAGTCTAGTCCTAACTTTCTGTTTCTTCAATGAGTCTAGTCCTAACTTACAGTTTCTTGAATGAGTCTAGTCCTAGCTTACTGTTTCTTCAATGAGTCTAGTCCTAGCTTACTGTTTCTTCAATGAGTCTAGTCCTAACTTACTGTTTCTTCAATGAGTCTAGTCCTAGCTTACTGTTTCTTCAATGAGTCTAGTCCTAACTTACTGTTTCTTCAATGAGTCTAGTCCTAACTTACAGTTTCTTCAATGAGTCTAGTCCTAACTTACTGCTTCTTCAATGAGTCTAGTCCTAACTTACTGTTTTAGTCCTCTAAAAGCTGATGATGATAGGGAAAGTACTTGTGTCTACTTACAGTTCCTTTAAAGACTCTAATCCTCTGAAAACTGACGATGATAGGGCCTCTATCTCACACTGCTGTAGATACCTGGAAGAAGAAGGGGAAAATATTCCAGATGTTCTTAAATATATCACTGATCACTTACAAGTGGTGTGTCTTTATTATTATAGCTTGTATTTCTATCTTGGTGACTGTCTCAAGACTAGGTGTCCTCGTCAGACTGTCTCAGACGAGAACACCTAGTGTCTTCGTCATCTTGTCTTGATATTTGTCACAATATTTTATTTTGGTTTCTTGTCATATTGTTTGTGTCTCTGGAGCTAGAAATTGTTTTAATGGTTTTATATGTCAAATGGATTGATAATAACTATTAACTTTTAAATACTTATTTTTTAAAACCTAAAGCATTATATTTATATACAGTTAACTTAAAAAAGCAGATTAACATTTTTCTTTTCACGATGTAAAACAAATACGTTTTGTGGAAAGTTAGGGTTAACTCATGAATGAAGATATTCGAACATAAATTTAACATAAATACACCAAATAGCCGACCTATCCTTCATCGTCACACTTTATGCTATCTTTATGCATTAACTGAAGAAGTTTTCGTTGTCAGTACAACGGAAGTAACTAATGTTACTGCTAGATTATTTTATCAGCTATCATTGAGATTCCCTTCTTTTCCTTTTTGATATAAATGAATATCAATTTATTTGAAACAAGCTGAAATACCCGTCAACTGACGGCGAATGTTTAAACTTAATCAAAACAATGTAAGTTTAACAGCAATCATAAATTTCAAATTAATAACTTGAACATAAACTTTATCTCAAAATTTTAAAATTGTAACAAAGCTACTTCATAAACAACATTTACAGTTTGCTTTCCATCTATCAACAAATAAAGATTTTGATGTGATCCCACCCTTGAACATCCTACATCTCATTGACCGTGAGAAAAACATGGTTGTTTGACAAACAGTCCAGGAACTTTCATACTTTGACCTTGAATTACTTTAGAATATTCAACATTGTCTAAAGCGTCAACCTGCCAAAATTGTTTGAGATGAACTCAGTAAGCTGAGAGTAATTAACCAACAGGCTTTACAAAATAAAAATAGGGTTAAGTTCAATTTTGACCCCCTTAGAACATTCCCCATAGTTCATAGTGTCTACATACAGATTTGTGTTGAGATAGGCCCAATAGGCTCGGAGGAGTTAGACTTCAAACAAACACACATTTCATCTTTATAAATATATATATATTTATTAAACATGCCAACTAACATTGATTCTAACAATAGGCCTAATAGGCCTAATAGGCTCGGAGGAGTTAGTGTGCGAACAAACACACATTTCATCTTTATAAATATATATATATTTATTAAACATGCCAACTAACATTGATTCTAACAAGAAACAAACATTGGATCGGCACTACTTGTTTGACAGTGTTCACCATCAACTGAAACTCACAATTTCAACAAACCCTCGATATCCACAAACACTTCTGCCGACAGATGGCGTATGGGGTTTCCTGCTAAAGAACTAATAAAAAATATTTATTACATTATATATATTTGAGCGTCATAAAATAAATATTTTAATGTTAAGTGGATATAAAAATATCCAAATTGATTAAAACTTTAGAAATAACTATCGAAATCTTAGCTACAAGCATGATTTATTTTATTTATATTTTACAGTAGATACGTACAGCTATATCGTTGTAAAAAACATTACACAGGTTAATGCTATCGTAAGTTTAAGTAACCATATTTAATCTGTTGCCAAGAAACGAAATTACCAAGATACAGCAGGTCAACCACTGTATTACAGTAGCAGTAGTATTATAACCATCTGTACGCTACAACCATCTGTTCACTACAACCAGAACTACAAACATCCGTACATTACAACCAGAACTACAAACATCTGTACATTACAATCAAGGCTACAAACATCTGTTCACTACAACCAGAACTACAAACATCTGTACATTACAACCATCTGTACGCTACAACCATCTGTTCACTACAACCAGAACTACAAAAATCTGTACATTACAACCAGGACTACAAACATCTGTACACTACAACCAGGGTTACAAACATCTGTACATTACAACCAGGACTACAAACATCTGTACATTACAACCAGGACTACAAACATCTGTGCATTACCACCAGGACTACAAACATCTGTGCATTACAACCAGGACTACAAACATCTGTACACTACAACTAAGGCTACAAACACCTGTACACTACATCCAGAACTACAAACATCTGTACATTACAATCAAGGCTACAAACATCTGTACACTACAACCAGGGCTACAAAGATCTGTACATTACAATCAAAGCTACAAATATCTGTACATTACATCCAGAACTACAAACATCTGTACACTACAACCAGGGTTAGAAACATCTGTACGATACAAGGTTAGAACAAACTGTCTGTATTTTACAACAGCACGAACTATCTGTATTTTACATCAGTACGAACCGTCTGCATTGTACAATATCACTATGAACCGTCGTATTGTACAATATCACTGTGAACTGTCCGTATTGTACAATATCACTGTGAACCGTCCGTATTGTAAAATATCACTGTGAACTGTCCGTATTGTACAATATCACTGTGAACCGTCTGTATTGTACAATATCACTGTGAACTGTCCGTATTGTACAATATCACTGTGAACTGTCCGTATTGTATAATATCACTGTGAACCGTCTG